TTGTAGTAGATGAAACTGAGAATTAAAGAAATCACTATTGTATTCTGTGATTTATAATTAAAAATAGACATTTGACTACGTCCAGGGTCTATTATTTGCGTACCTCTATTTAGCGGCCACCTCTATTAAGCGGCCACAAAGCCGATCCCCGAGGGTGGCCGCTTAATAGAGGTTCGACTGTATTAGTTATTACGTCAGCAAGACATGCCAAAATGGATTTGGTCTTTGTCAAGGAAAAAGGTTGTTTTGTGCAAAAAAATTCGCTGGTGGAAAACTGGCTTTAGGCAGTGTGAAATAATGAAGTGGTGCTCATCAGGATATACACCATTGAGTGGCAGCACTCTCCACTTGATGAGTTATTTTACTGTGTCTAATACCAGATGATTTACTAAAGTAGGGTGCATCAGCCATTGCTACTTAAAGGGTTAAACACATTTAAATAAAAGTGAATTGAACAATAATATTACATTAATATAAGATTGCTTATAATATATAATTATCCCCCCGGTGTGTAATTCATATTACTTATAAGATCGTGTACAGATGATTAGTGTATTGACTGAGAAAATGTAAATATGTATTAACTGGTTAATAATTTATTCTTTAGAAGTGTATAAAATACAGCTTATATGTCCAGATTTGGAATGGTATCATAGAGTGCTGAACCTTAGATACTTCTAAGCAAAATTTGAATCTTAGAAGCGTAGTAGATGAAAGTTCATAGTCTTCATTTCAAGATGAATTTAGACAATTATAACATGTGTAATTAAATATTGATAATTTAATCAAATAATACAACTTGTGCTGTACATATATATCTTTAAGTTAGCACAAAAACCAACTTGTCTCAGTTCCTGACTGTTTAGTACATATTCATTTGCATGTGATGTTGGTGTTTATACAGTCATGTATGTACTGAGTGTTAATATCCACACTGGGCAGGTTTGATAAATATACCTGGCTCATGGGAATCGAACCTACAACCTTTGGAATACCAGCCCAATGCTCTGCCAACTGAGCTACGCGGTCAGGTCGGTTAGACTATGTGATCACATTAAACCTCCGACTATAAGCCTCCCACATATACTAACTCTCACCTCATTCCAAATATAAACCCCCTGAATATAAGCCCCCCCTCCCCGAAAATAAGCCCCCTGAAATATATAGAGGATATTACACAATGGCACGAAGATATGACTTTTTATCTTCAAGTGGTGAAAACAATATTTTACAAACGAGCGCAGCGAGTGAATAAAATATTGTTTTTAACATGAGAAGATAAAAATCATATCTTCAAGCCATTAGCATGCGATGTTCTGTTTATTATATAGTCCCACTGTTCTGTTTATTACGTCACTGTTTATCTCTACTATATAAAAGACCAGTAGCCCACTATGTTACGGCCATAAACTTCCCACTCCAAGCCCCCCCCCCTCCAATATAAGCCCACCACATATACTAATGCTCACCTCATTCCAAATATAAGCCCCCCACCCGAATATAAGCTTCCCAAATATAAATCCCCCAAATTTTGTATAAGCCCAGTAGCCCACTATGTTATTCAACATTGACATTGTCTTAATTAAAGCAGAGAACAATATTTAGAAACATTGTTATTGTCTTTATAGCTGACTATGTTAATCAAAGCGTGTTATTAACCCATTAAGCGCCAGCGCTCTCCCCTTGACGAGTAAAATCGTCTGGCGTTAGACAGAGTAAAATCGTCTGGCGTTAGACAGAGTAAAATCATCTGGCGTTAGACAGAGTAAAATCGTCTGGCATTAGACAGAGTAAAATACTAAAGTAGGGTGCATCAGGGTGCAATGCAACCCAATGGGTTAATTAGACGCATGGACAGATAGGCCAGTTAAGGGGGAGCTTCACCTCAAAATTTAGTCGATTAGGATGAAAATGTCAAAATATCTAAAACATCATGATAGGATACCTAAACATGTATTTTATCAACTAGTGAAGTCTTTATTTAAATTTCCATACTTTTTACGGAAAAAAATAGACTTTAGAGAAAGGATGTGAGATTTCATTGAATGTTTACACCAGGTTACCATGGAAACGAGCTTCAAAAATCCTCTAAAAAAGTCGTTTTACTGTGCGATTTCAATGTAAAAATTTATACAGGGCTACCTATGCCAATGGTGTGTATTATGGATATGAGAGGCACATAGGGACACGCTACAATTGCATAATTTTGTTATTTACATAATTTTACTCATTTACATGAGGCTTTGAGAATATATTCCGCTAAATTTTCTATTTTGTCGCTATATTTTGTTGCATTTTTGGTTTGTAATAATGCCAAAAGGTTCCAAAGAAGGAACAAACTTTCGTGTGAGAAACAAATCAAAGAAAAAGCCCGTTTCAAAGGGAAACGATTCTCTGATTTTTGCGAAGATGGCGATGTTTTGAAGGAAAGTTCATGGCTCTCAAATCTAACACCCGATCTGGATCAGAAGAGTAAAATGAAGACTAATATGATGACGATTTATTGAATAAAACTGATGAGAAGTCACATCGGCAAAGAAACTGGAGAAAGCTAATTTAAAATCACCTCAAATTTACTCCTGAAATTGAAGGGATATTATAAACTGCAAGGCAAACTTCACAGGGACAAGAAGGATATCGGATTGTTTGTATTGAAAACATTAGGAAAACAGTTGAGAACATGCATAAGTGCAAAAATGAAAACATTATAACTTCTGAAGATGCTGCAAAACGTGCTGGACTGAGCAGTACTTAGTTTATTATTATTTTGAGTGCAGAGGATTGACATGGATACATAGAAGCCAGTTGAGGGAAAGGCATGTTCTTTTGATGTAGAACTAATTTTCCTATGGGTGAGCTGGGCTTAGGTTGGGAAATTCTTTCAACTATTTGTGACATTTTGAACATTGGCCCTCCAGTTTATAGTGACCAGTTTATAGTGATAGTGCTTACCAAAAACACAATCAATCGGTGAATCTAGCAACAAGAAAAGTCTTGGAAGAAAGATTGAACATTGGCGCGGCTGGTCGACTTGATATTGTAATGAAAGAGCTGAAAATGTATGCTGGTTTTTATACAAAAACTGGAAGTGGGAGAAAGAATGACAAGAGAGTAAAACAAGCAAATGCAAGGACCCAGATGAAGTTCAAGGAAGCAAGACAGAAAATTCAACAGGCAAAATTGGCGGAAGAGGCAAGATCGAACGCACGGAAATGAGTAACATATGAGAGCGCGGCATTTAACAAGGATTGTTTGAGTGGTTCAACTAAGAGAAAGACGACGACAATGAAAAGTAATGGTAAAAAGGGCAAAAGCAAGCTGCCAAGAAAAGAATAGAGCCTCAAACACTCTTATAACACTCAAACAACAAGTTCCAACGGAAATTAAACTTTAACTGTCTATTTCTCAAAATGTGATATTTGGCCGCACGTCAACTGCCCCCCTAGCTTTTCTTGTTACTGTTTTAATGAAAATTTCCCATTTTTGGCACAGATGTAGTTTAAGGTATGTAGAATGCAACTATGAGCCATTTTTTTGATATTTATTTTCTAACAGGATTTATAGTGAAAAGTGTATACGCAATCTGTTTTATCCGTTACCATAGCAACCATGGTGAATTACAAAAAAATGGCTCATAGGAGCATAGTTCAATATCTTAGCTACCACAACGTGCATTTTCA